AATGGTTGATAATCTCACACAGTCTACTCACCTCTCTTAGAGAAAAACTGGGTTATAAATTAACATTCTTGCCTTTTTCTCTCTCTCCCTCTCTCTTTTTTTGAAAACATGATTTTATAACTTTTTTTAGCAGCACAGTAACTACCACAATCGTTCATGTATTGCACTGATTGCTGCTGAACAGTCACTCTCAAGTGCTCCAAGCAGGAACAAACCATTTAATGCAGATAGGGAGGTTCAGGGCAAATACGGATGTGTGTTTTTTGATCTGGGAGTGGGAACATAAAATTTGTATTGCTAAAAACAATCTTTGAAAATACAATATGATTAATTTTGGAATTGACAGGGCCCCAATTTTCTTTTTAATTTCTATGAACAAAAAATAAATAATTAAATTGTGGAGGGCCCCCTGTCGGTCAGGGCCCTTACAATTATCATTTTTATTTTTTTTTCTTTGGTTACTGAAAATCAGATATTTGAAAATCTATATTAAAGACAGAAAAACACATGAATCAAGTCTCATCTTTTTGACTCTTAAGATTTAAGATGAGCTTCATGATATATTCAATACTATTACCAACCCTATTAAGCTGTGATATTGAAAAAAGACAAAAGTATGTTTCAACCAAAGATAGACTTTATTTTTACTTTTAAAATAAATGGTTGCTAAACACTAGAGATTTTTTTAAAACAAATTAAAATGTTTTCCAGTAGAGAATTTGCTCTAAAAAACTGGAAGTGAAAATAAGCGAACGTTTATTATTGGTTATCTTATGCCTGATGTTCCTAAAATAAACACAATAACATTTTTAACAAGAAATCCACCAATCATGGCTGCTGAGGATTGGTTTGATGTAATAATACCAGGGAAACAGAAAGTCTAAAACTTCTAACAATGTAAAAAGTGTTTGTTTTTTTTAACTACACTGTAAACATAAATTAGTTGAACCAACTTAATTAAATTGCTTCAACTGGCAACAAGGGCTGGACAGTGGTGCAGTTGGTAGCACTGTTGAATTGCAGCAAGAAGGTCCTAGGTTCAATTCTTGGCCGTAGACTCTGTCTGCATGGAGTTTGCATGTTCTCCCTGTGCATGCATGGGTTCTCTTCAGGTACTCCAACCTCTCTAAATTCTCCCTAGGTGTGGTTGTGTTGCTCTGTAACAAACTGGGCAGGTCTGTTAGAGGGCAACCTGCCCAGGGTGTACCCTGCCTCTTGCCCAGAACATTAGCTGCAGATCAGCACCAGCAACCCTCCCAATCCCAATAGGGAAAAGGTGTACAGAAAATGGATGGATGGGTAACAAGTAATTCAATAAAGTTTGTCCAACTTAATTTATTAAGTTTAACCAACTCAAGTTATGTCTATCCAACTCAATTTGCTAATTGTATCTAATTCAATATATTATGATCATCCAACTCAATTTATCAAGTTTATCCAGTTTTTAAGTTTTAAAAAGTTCTCTAAAAAGTGTATTTGAAACAATTAAGTTCATTGCTGCATTCATATCTGATAGCTGATCTCATGAGCCAAACTTCACCAGGGACAGATCCTCCATCCACCAGGCTGCTGAGGTGATGCAGCGGTGAAGCACAACTCATAAGGAGACCTGAGTGTTTAGCATTGCTGTCACAGGTTTGATTCCAGCCTGACGACCTTTGCTGCAACTTCATAAGTCAAGTTGGTTTAACTATTTTTTTCAGTGTACAGGATCTTTGATGAACTAAAATAACATGTTAAAACATACATTTAAAATTATTTAAATTGTAGCTGTATTTTAAGTCTAATGTGAGTGATAATGTAATTTTGGATATTTCTTTTTTTTTTTAGTTTGTAACAACTTAAAAGTTTGAGTTCACTTTCTACAGAATTTAGTTAAAGAGATTTGCGTTATTTAATAGACAAAAATAAATGATTTGAGTAAGATAGTCTTAAATTTGTAATATTAAATACATTTAATGAATTAAGTTCTAAAAACTTAGTAAATAAACTTAATGAATTGAGTGGGACGATCATAATATACTGAATTGGTCAGACATACAATACAGGACTGCTATTGAACTAAATTTTTTCAAGTGAAGTGAAAGTAAAAAGTTTCCTTAAGTCAATTAAGTTAATTGAACACAGAAAAGAAAGTTGTCATCACTAAACCAAATGAATTAAGTGAAATTAATGTAAATAAGTCGATAAAATGAACTACAGCCAAAAACACTTTTTAGAGTTCAGTTCAGACATGATGTCATGATGATGCAATGTTTTCTTCTTGAAGAAAATCTGGACTCCTTGATCCTCACATGGGGAAAAGCAGATGACCACTGAAGGTTGTGTGATGACTTTGACTGTCATGAATCCTTGTGTTTTTCCACTGACGCAAAAACACAACGTCTCCTACCTCTAACAGCAAGGTGGCACTATTACCAGCATTAACACCGAGAGAAGCCTGATGTTCATATCCAAGAACAATATGTTCTCCATTTTTGGACAACGCAGCTCCTGAGCCGTGTGAAGCATGTCCATGTCCATAGATAAAGAACTCAAAGTGGTAGACTCCTCTCACTGGTGCAATAAAAAACCCTGTTGAACATGTTTTTATGTTTTAGTTCAATTTTATAGTTTCCATAAATAATACCAATCATAATGTAAACATTCTGGTACCTGTATTTGGGTTGTAGGCATTTCCAGTGTTTGCTACAACACGCCTGAAGACCAGATTAGTCTGTGCATTAAATGGTCCAATGTCTTCACTACCTGAGTCCAACAAGGAGGCTGAGAAAGCCACTCGATTCACTGTGAGGTCAAAACCTGATTAGGTTTTAATAGTTTCTTATGATCTAAACAATAATATGTTAAGACAAACAGTTGAAAGAATCCACATTAGTCAGTGTTATCTTCAGAACATTTGTCTCTCTTCTTCTTTTACAAGATCAAATTAAATCCTAAAGTCATTCAAAATTTATTAGTATCCAAACAATTTAAAACTTAATGAGCTTTATTTTTTAAATCAGCCTTATGGTGACTGACAGTATTGATGTGACAGTAAGTTTATTTTTAATTTCACAAACCTTCTCCTTCTCTCCTCAGAATCTCCACTTCGTTTCCTGTGTTGTTTGCCTTGACTTTAACACTGATTAGTTCCTCTGCCTGAGCTGAAATGATACAAACAAAAGAGTCATAATGATCACTGAGTCATCATTGTCATGATTTTATGAAATGATTATATCAGCTGAAACCCATAAAATGCTTAATTGGTTTTAGTTGTTCAATCTGATTGAGTTTGAGATGAGAGAAATTGGTAGGTGACACAGAGATGATAAAACAAGATGATATCATTATTATATATTCCTTTTTGTAAGTCAGTTTATCATTATCTAAATACCTTGGTGCTGTTGTTTTAGATTTTCCAGCTCTTTCTTCTGGACCTCCATCTCTCTCTCCTTGACTGAAGAATTGAAGAGAACAAACTTGTACCATGATGTTATTTGATAATAAACATTTAGATAAAACCATCGCTTATTGATGCTATATCTTTCAACTTTGTTAGTGTATTTTACCCAGAAAATGACTGGTAAGATAGATAAGATAAGATAAGATAAATCTTTATTGTCATTGTCACAAGAACAACGAAATTTAAAAAGTGCCGTCAGTCAGTGCATGTGCTGCTCACACTTTACATATACTGTAAGATATCCATAACAAGTAAGTGATAAAAAAAACAACAACAAAAAAAACTAATAAATAAGAATAACCACATTCTGACACACATCATTCATGATGATTAATGGTTATTTTTGATTGCATTTAGTTTTGTTATTGCTGTAGGATAAAAACTGTCTCTGTATATAGTAGGTCAAGCCTACTATATAATTTACTGGGGGACCTTTTTTTTTTTTTTAATTCTACATACACCTTACGCAATAGGAGAGGGTCCACTTTCTCCAAATATATTCAAATGTTAAAACAAATTGAAACTCTTCCTCCCTTCTGGACCCTGGACATTTGGTATGGGTGACCATTTAATTTATTTGTTCAACACACTCTGAAAATAAATTAGTTGAACCAACTTAATTGCATTGCTTCAATTGGTAGAAACTAATTCAATTAAGTTCATCCAACCTAATTTATAAAGTTTAGCCAACTGCAGTTAACTTAGTAAATTGAGTTCTACCCAACTCAATTTACTAATTCTATCCAACACAATATACAATGATCATCTAACACACAGGTGTCAAACTCCAGTCCTGCAGGGCCAATGCCCTGCAACTTTTAGATGTCCTTCTGCTGCACCACACCTGAACAGAATAATTAGGTCGTTAGTGGGGCTCTGGAGAACTGAGCTACACAATGAGGAGGTAATTAAGCCATTTCATTCCAGTGTTTTGTACCTGTGGCACATCTAAAAACTGCAGGACAATGACCCTTGAGTATGACACCCCTGATCTAACTCAATTCATTATGTTTATCCAACTCAATATGTCATGATCGTCTGACTCAATGGATTAAGTTCATCCAATTTAGCTTAAGTGTCCATTAGATGAACTACAACCAGAGTGTGATGATCACTGAATCATCATTGTCATGATTTTATGAAATTATTATTTTAGCTGAAACCCACACACTGCTTAACCCTTGTGTGTGCGAGAACTGAGGCAAATGTAGAGGTCTATGGAAAATGATACAGGTTTTACATGTGTGGGGTTGGTTGGACCCCATTTCGACATACAAGGGTTAATTAGTGACACAAAGATGATAAAAAAGATGATATCATTATTTACTATTTAATTTTGTAGGTCAGGTTATCATTATCTAAATACCTTGGTGCTGTTGTTTTAGCTTGTCCAGCTTTTTCTTCTGGACCTCCAACTCTCTTTCCTTGTCTGAAGAATTGAAGAAAACAAACTTTACAATAACATTTAATAGAGTTCAAGTTAGGCAAAAAAAAAGAAAAAAAAGAAAAGAACTTTGAACACAGTACAGGTTTCTGCCCTCTGTTTGCATTATTAAAATATCTTTCAAACTGTAACATTTATTCAACATTGAAAATCTAAAATCCTTCTAAATTTATTTTTTCAGTGTTTTACTTCTACATTTTTCTTTCTTTCATACCTTGTTGCTGTTGTTTC